CTTTATGATAATGTTTTTGCGGTCGCAATTGCGATGGCCTCAATGGGGGAATTTCGCTTAGCAATGATCGGTTCCCTGCTTCGGGAACTGATTTTCGCTTTACAATGATCAAAAACAGCTGATTGTTGGGTTTTCAAAATGGCCATCGGGTACTTAAAATGGCTCCCCGCTGTGCTTAGGGACGGATTCCTCACTATAGAGGCACCAAAAATGGCCGCCATATGGAGGATCTTCGCTGGACGGTGAGTTTTTAGCCCATTGGAACGCATTGAACAGTTTTCAATGCATTTCAATGGGCTTTTTAATTTCGCTTTACAATATTTTCGCTTAACAGCGATTTTCCTGGAATAGGTTATCGTCGTTAAGTGAGGCACCACTGTATATCTATGGTTTGTAAGCCTCTGCTTCCCATAAGTGCTATGAGCAGATCTGTTATTTAACTTTGACTTCTGTGTTTTCATCCTCCCTGCCATGCACTGGGACAGAAAGGTGTTCATGCAGCTGCCTGCATTTCAAGCCCAGGATCTCAGTTCCATAGGAAGGACCTGGTGAGAAAGGAGGATTGTAATTCCAAGGAAGCCTGGAGGAGAAACCATGGGCTGCTTCAGAAGAAGTAGCAGGAGGGTATGAAGAAGTTTCTTGGGTTTTCCTCTCATTAGAGGAAAGTGACAGACAAGTGACAGACAATAACCCTCTGCTTACAAAACAGTGATCTGGAACTTCTCATGTTGGTACATGTATTGCAAAAATGTGGCATCTGGGAATATGGAGTTGTATTGGCAATATGTGTAATGGTACGTTTTTCCTTCCATGTGCAAAATCCTATAGTTGGATAGGTGCTATAGATAGATTGTGGTTGAGCGCAGAGTCTGGTCAATGCTGCTTGTTGTGACTTACCAACTTGTTCAAGGCTTAATGTGACTTACCACACTAAACTTCCCTGCATGTTTCCCTAGAGTCCACAACTGATGAGCAAACTGAGCAGAACATCTTTGAATAAGACATTTAGGATTAGACTTTGATACGTCTCTCAGGAAACAGAATGCCACATTCATGCAACAGCTACTGATAATGCCCTCTTGGCTTTCCTGGTATTTTACAGACTCGGCACAAAAGGGGCACAGTCAAGAAGGCGCGCTTGGCTTGGCAATAGACTTTAACACAAGTTCATTGCAGAATTCCAGGCCAAGTAAAGACTGAAGATAACCATTTTGAACAGCAAGTGTGAGATCAACTGGATAAATAAAACTTGAGGAAGTGTCTGATCATTGGTGCAGCTGATGAATAAAACAGGAGCCAGTACATGGCCCCGGAGTAGAATATTCTTTTGAGTCCATTGGCTGCACTGTCCTTGAATGTTAGCGAAATATCTGTGGTTTTGCAGAAGGGTTGCAATTACTTCAATTAGTTTATAATCCTCAATTAGATTATAGAATTCTTGTAATAGCGCTTGATGATGAACAGTGTCATAGGCAGATGAGAAGTCAACAAAGGCTATCCTTGTGATCTTCCTTGTTTCAAAGTTATCTATCTGCATGAGATTTACGCTCTGCAATTCTTCCCAGTTGCAAAGGTAACCTGTTGTGAGATGAGGAGTAGTCCCACTACTTCCATTAGACAGTTAAGAATATTTTTTCCTAGGATATTATAACGATTACAATGTAGTGAGATAGGCCAGAAGTTTTTTTTTCCTTTGGGGGGGTCTGTGGGTTCTTTGCCAGCAATCACTTGTAACTTTATCCTTTTTTGGGGGGGGGTACTGAGAGAGTGAAAAGACTTATCAAAGAAATTAAGGCACTGTGTTTTTTTATTATTGTTCCAAAACGTTTTACCTGTTCTGTACAGATGTCATTCAGGCTTGCTGCCTTACCATTTTTGCAGCTACAAATAGTTTTTTTTTTTAATGCACTGAAGCTGAATGGTCTTGTAGGGTTATCGGTCTCAAGTTGCTAACAAGTTGTAAGGTCCTATAGTGATGTTCAAATCATATCTGCTTTTAATGAGCTGTAGTTGGGCTATGTGATTTGGTGAAAGGTTTGCATGAGTAGGGCCCTTAGCTGGGTTGTAGTTAAGCCGCTTTAATAATCTCCAAGCATGTTTCTTGACATGTTTATTTCTTCTGTGTGTTTTATCCAATTATCTCCTTTAGTTTCTGAGACCTGTTCTAGTGCCAGCAGGAGTCTATTGCTGCCTCGGCAAAAAACACATCTATCAGAGTACTCACACATTCCTCTCCTTGCTTGTAAAAAAGAAAAAAGGAACAAAGGAACAAAGTTCCCTTCTGATTTTAACAGCCCTTGTTTGTAGGTTGTGCTATAGAAAAAGAGCGAATTTTGTTCCTGTGTTCCTTTCCAACCAACTGTGCTGACTTGTGGCCTGAGCTTCAGAAAGCTTTATTTCTACTGCAGAAAGTCAACATCATGGCTCCGTCTGACAGTCCAAAGATCTGGGGTTTAGCTTGCATCAAGGCTTAGATCTGGCAACCTTTCAGAAATCAGAAACCAGAGAAAACGCTCTGATCTTCCCCCCTAGAAACTGGACCCTGCACATACAGAAACATAGGGGTGGTTCCCATGAGAGTAGAGGAGTGATTTCCATTTCCACAGTTATCCCAGCTTGGTAAATCTTTTTTTTTCCTAAGCTCCCAGAATTCCCCCAGCCAGTGGAACCAAATCTGATTGGCTAATACTTAAGAGAAATTATGTTGCTTATTAGGGACCCTAACTGGCTGCTTAGACCTCAGACCGAAACTAAAGAATATTTGGCACGACCCTATTGAATGGCTTCAAGCCATAGGATAAATGGATGGGACACCCAGGACAAAGTTTGTGAAGGAAGGCTCTCAACAAAGAAAGTCAAAGTAAGGGACCTTGGTGGATTAAAGAGAACATTGTCCTTTCCCGGAAAGAAGGGAAAGCGGTTCTTAAGATCTCAACAGTGCAAGTTTGAATCCCTGCAAAAACAAACAAACAAACAAACAACAAAAAAAAACATTCTGAAGCATCCTAAAGTGCTGGATTTGGCTGGGGCTCCACCCCATGCCGCACACCGTTTCCCCCCAGCTTGCCTTTCTGATTTTGTCACTGGTCAACCTGCCAGAATGGAAAACAAGGCCTTCCTTACTTTCCAAAGCACTCAGCGGAGCAAGTCTTTTAAAAATTTCAACACTTCATCTGTAAAGCCCAGCAAGGAAAGCAGAAAGGCAGACACAGCATGAAACAGGGGAAAAAAAGTGTGGCAAGCCTACCCCCCCTTTTTTTTGGACACCATGTTTTGGATCAGGCAGGAAAGAGAGTGGAATTTCTCTAAAGCTGCTCACATCTGATCTTAGTGGAAGAATAGTGTTTCGTTTTCCCCACTGAGAAGGAGCTGGCTTCATTCTGCAATGGAAAAGAAATGTATCTTTCCTTCCTCCTCATTTTCCCCTGCCCTCCATGGACGCTCTGAAATGAAGGCATCTGTCTCTTTCTTTTTCTGTTAGTGAAGTGAGTGTCCTATAAGTGGATGCACAGTATGTTAAAATAAAAATAAAATGAGGCAAGGTCCTGAAATTATTCTCAACTGGTGCCTCCTCCTCAGTCTAAAAGAGCTGAGAAACAAGATTTGAGGGAGTTCGTGTTGGAGATCTGTATTAACAATATCTTCTGCCTTTATAGCATGGGAGAATGAAAGAGAGAGGAAACGGGGGAGGAAGAAGAAGAACATGCCCATCTCCCATATTTTTGGCACTGAAAGGAGTTTGGGTGTTTTGAGCTTAGAGAACAAATGCATATTGTTATAGTTCATTTCCAAGCCCTCTGATGGTTTGGAGACTGCAGGGGGAGGAGAAGTATCATTCAACCACACGTGCATTATGCATGCAGAGGCAAGCACACATGTACATGTACATATGTGCATGTGTGCTTGTCTGTGCATGCATACACACAGTGATGGTTTGGAGACTGCAGGGGGAGGAGAGGTATCATTCAACCACATGTGCATTATGCATGCAGAGACAAGTACACATGTACATGTACATATGTGCTTGTCTGTGCATACATATACACAAACTTTGTACGAAACAGGCTCTCCTGCTGCCTTCTCTCATCATGGCGGAAGGTGAGGAATGACTAAAATGTCAGCCAACTCCATGAAACTGAGTCTGGTAAGATTGCAGCAGACCTTTTCCCTCAAAATGGCTGCTTTCAATCTCAAGCAGATAAGCTGCAGCCCCTGGTCTCAGAGTCAGGATTCCCAATTTGTGTAGGGAATGAAGCATTCAGACACACATCTGTGTATGGGTAAGGTGAGGTCTACCTGCTGTCAGTGAGGAAATCTTCCAAAATACTGTTTGTACTTCCAAAGGAGCATCCACTCAAAAAACATCCAGTGTGCCTACCATACATACACATGTGCAGGCACAGGATGAAAAAATGTAGTGGTCGCAAACAGTAATGGAGGAGGAGTCACCCACTACGAGAAATCCTGTCTTCTCTCATTTTTTCCTACTTACTACTGTGGGGTGAGCTTCAGAGGGGGAAAAACTGAATGTCTTTTGAATGAGGCCTGGAATTAGGGATATTTAGCTTTGGCCTGGGAGCTGCTTGACAGTTTCAGATCCTCTCCAGCAACCTGCAAGATTCATGACCACATGCAATGGCTCTGAACTGCCTGATGAAGAAGATTGAGGGTAAAATCCATGGTGTCCAGGCAAGTATGGGCTCTGGTGAAGAAGGTGGCTTTTCTCTTCCTTCTCAAAGGTGTCAGATGGCCCCCTACCTTGCTCAACCTGACAGTACAGCAGAAGGAGGCTCATACTCTCTACCAGAGGAATAAGCTGAAATATCTTTAATTCACTCCTCTTAGGGGGAAGATCTATAGACAGGGCAGTAAGATTCTTCAGACCTGCAGCTGGCTGAAGGCAATATCTGAAGCAACATTGCTACCGACTGCTCAGAGTTGCCTTCCATCTTGATTGTGATGTCACAGCCACAGGATGCTGCTGTTGGGACCTGAAGGTCTTTGAGCTCACCTGCCTCCTTTTCAAGTCTTACCTACATTTCTGTGGGCATCACAGCCGGAACACAAATTTAAGCCTTTAGAAAAGGAAGCTTGCATGCAAGAAGAGCAGTGAGTAGATCTGCAGGAGTGCAGCCAGGGAAGTTCAGAGTTTGGACTAAAGATTCTAGAGTCTCCCAAGTTTTAAATTGCAGTCCTATTCGGAGCCATTGCATCAGTATATATGTACTGTACTGATATGTCGGTACCTAGTGCACAAGATCAGGACAGGACAGCTGATTATATGAACGTTGGCTGAGCAGTAATGCATCAGCAACCCACAAGGTCTGCATCACAGACTGAATTCCCTAGACATTTTTCTTATACAAAGACTACAGGTTGCTTTTTGCTCAGAGCGGTTAAGCCACAGACACGCTTTCATATAAATAAAAGGGATCCTGCTACTTAATGCTTTATCTGTCTCGCCCCTGTGGACTCCAGAGATTATTAAATAAGATGCTACCTTCAAAGTGCCAGACCGATATTAAGAAAGCAGGTATTTTCAGCAATGTGATTAAATATGCTCCAAGTATTTTTGTAATTATAAATTATAATTGCATCAACATAAAAATCACATAATTGTGTTTATAAATATGTGATAATCATGAATTACTGCCAAGAATTTGTATTTCTAAGATTTAGAGAATGTTAAGGGCCACTCACAGAGGGCCTTTTAAATGCAGTTTTAGCACAACGAGGAAGACTGGGGCATAAAACCACTGCCGATTTTGGAAAGCTATATATCTCATTTATCAAGTGGATCCAGTCTTCAGAAGAAGGTAGATGTATCTGAATAGCACTTAAGGGATGTGTAAACATCTGCTCTGAACCAAATCAGCACTGCAAGCTGCTCCTGATTTGTGAAAATATTTGCTGCAGACATTTGCATTGCAGGGGGTTTCTGCACTAAATACTTTAGGAAATAAAAATAAAAATAAAGGCCAAGCCACCCAGAAAGAGGAAGAGACAAATGAGTTTTATGTCGATCCCTGCAGCGCTCTGACCCAAGTAAGAGCTTCATAAAGAGTTGTCTGAAGGCTGGAAAGAAACCAAAATAATCTAAAATCCATCTGTAAGAGGCCAAGGCTCTTTTACTTAGGTACTAAATTTTATATGTACCTTTGCCAATACAAATTCTTTTACACAGGACAAAAGACACAGGCTTACAATTTCAATTGGAAAATCAATTAGCAACATAGTAAAGGATCCTACATCATTCTCAAAAGGTACTTTGGGGTTATTTGAAGCCACTTTTAAGTGCTAAAAATGAATACAAGATTAGAAAAGATTTGCTTGTAGCTATAGAATATATAAGGCTGCTGCTAACACTTAGTAAGGGACCTACTCTTGGTAGAGTAGAAGAAATGACAGAAGGCAGTGATAGGTTGTTGAAACATAAACTACTGACCATATTCAACATACCATGAGAGACCTGAAAAAAGGACAGGCTGTGAAATAAATGTGTAGAACTTGGGATGTCATTTGTGAGTCACTGAAATATAATGTTTCACAAATGAATGTCCCGTCGTATCTCTCGTTCTTTTTAATGTAAAGGAAAAATGTTGGCATTTTGTATTTCTCATATTCTTAATAACACTAATACAGTACTAATCAGCAGGAAGTAGAACTTAAAAGAAGGTCAACTCATATAGACCTAACAGAAAAAAAAACAAAGTATAGTCAAGATTCCTCTCAAAGGACCATCAGATGGCTCAAAGGGAGGGGAGAGCACAAAGGCTTTCCTTAGTGGCTGCTGCTCATGCAGGCATAAAAGCCAGCAACTGCATGCGAGCTGATTCTGAATGAGCTCAGAATCCATGGGTGTAAGTATAGTCATTGCTGGAACTTCTGAACCAAGAATGGGAATTTTCAGGTTGTAAATCTATTCCAGTCACACTGATATTGGGACATGAGATGCTACTTTCAGCAAGAACCACAATCCTTCCCTGCACATACCCATCTTGTCTGATTAGAGGTCAAGTAGAATCAGGCCTGGTTAGTCCTTGGCTGGGAGAGCATCATGGGTATATATATGAAACCTTCCAGTATCTCCCAACAAAGAGAATTAAATGGTTAGAAAATTACCGAAACAGCTAAACTTTCCACTGTCAGTGTTTAACTTTAATGATATCTTTTAAAATATTTAAATTTCCTTTAAAAAAAAGCATCCTTTCAAAATCTCTTTTATTTAAATAGATAAAACGAGTTAAGAACTGGCTGCAGAAAAAAAAGCACAAGCCGCGAAAGACCACAATCCTAATTAAAAGTGGGAGGGTACCATTTCTGTAGCCAATGTACAGGCCCAAGAAGATGTGTAAGTCAAGAAGCTATCTTTAATTTATATGTTGATAAGCTTGTGAGAGATTTGTGCCTGAGGGATATTGTGATAAAGATTAATTCAGAATTCTTAATTTATGCAACTGTTAATCATATATTCACACAATTATTTATATAATTATTCATTATTCTAAATGATGGGTAGGTTTGAATTAGTCAGAACTGACATGTCAGCACATTGTGTGTTTTTTTAACAGACTATGCAATAGTGCTGCTTTTCAATAATCACCGTTTTGAAACGGTGATCGTTGTTTTGTGTTACAGCGGATGTAACTTTATTGGAATAAATACATACTGTAAAAATATATGTTCAAAGTGAGACATCTTCATGAGACATTTAAAAAAGTCCTTTTGAGTAACATTGTCTTAGAACATTTTTTAAAAAATTCAAGTCCTAAAAAATACTCCATGCCTTCTTCCAGCTCAAGAACTCTTGTTTTCAAGACCCCCAAATCTAATCCATGTTATATTTCCACAGCCCTTTGCGCATGCTTAAAATTACCCAAGCAATCCAGGGCTCAAGAAGTTGATAATCAGATCTCATATATGAGAAATATATCTGATATATCACCTATGGGGAGAAAAGTATTCATTCTTTGAAACAAAAGAATTTCCTCACATGGATAGCTCACTGGCTTAAGTCTCTGGCTACAGAGCCAAAGGTTGGGCATTCAGTTTCCCATTGTGCGTCCTTAACAGTGGCTGGACTCAGTGACCCCTGATCCCTTCCAACTCTGCAGTTCTAAGATTATTATCTGCCAATGTACAGTACAATAGTTATTCAGTAGTGAATGCTTAATTTTCCAAGATGAAAGATGAGAATCATCTGATGTAGCGTATGCTGACATTTAGTAAGCCTGTTTAAAAAGTTCCGCTATCCCATTCAGTAGTCCCTGTTCAAACTGATTTTCTTATTTTACTCTCATTTTAATTATTTAGGCGTTTTTATTATTTGTAAATTAGAGGTGTTCTAATTAGAGGAGTCCTTTTCACTCACCATCAATCCCCAATGAACCAATGATGCCTCAAATCATTCACTCCTACAGATCTGTACACCAAATATTATTTATTCTACAGATCAAATCTTAGTATACACCAATACAATAGGTGTTCAAAAGTGGCAAGAACAGTTAGTTTATCTGTCCACTGGATTTCCATCCATCCCACTCCCTCTTTATAACAGCACTCAAAGTAATTAGCAAACATGGTTAAAAGCTGATTAAGTAATTTGTTCTTATTCAAATTACAGTACTTAATTTATGGAAGGAGCAGTAATAGTAGCAGTATTTGCTGTTGGTGGTGTCATTACTGTTCTTATTTAGGCTGTGACAACATGGTCAAATATGCTCCACTTATAAAATGGGTGGATTCAAAGTATTTTTAATGACCACATGACAAAAAGGCTAATTCAGATCTGTCCAGACCTTTTTGCTCCCCAAGTGGGTTTTTTCCCCTCTCTGCCACTGTGACACTTCTACTTTTTCAAGCCAGAACATTCAAACGGGGTTGTTCCTGTGTGGTTAGTTGTAATACATTTTTGTAAAAATATGTGTGTGTGTTATAGGCAGTTGAGGCACAATGTTCAGGCCCGGGGAGACATCCCTGCATTCTTTTCTCTCCCCTAGTTTTCCCTTTTCCTTCTTCTTCTTTTTTTAAATTCTCAGTAGCTTAGGTCTTTGGCAGTGGAGCCAGAGACTGGGAGTTCGATTCCCCACTGCGCCTCCTTGATAGGAGCTGCACTTTATAATCCATTGGGTCCCTTCCAGCTCTGCAGTTCTAAAAGGATGAGATTAGTGCCAGATCATCCTATCACCTTATTGCTGGGTCATCATCATCATCATTATTTCCTGTATTAAAGCTCCTGTCAGTTTCCTGGAATGTGAATCACATTGCACCCTGTGTGAACATTGACCGCAATTTCAAAAATAACACAGGCTGTAAATCAAAACACAGTAAAGTGTGATCATCCTATCACCTTATTGCTGGGTCATCATCATCATCATCATTATTTCCTGTATTAATGCTCCTGTCAGTTTCCTGGAATGTGAATCACATTGCACCCTGTGTGAACATTGACCGCAATTTCAAAAATAACACAGGTTGTAAATCAAAACACAGTAAAGTGTATTCACATCCTTACTGAAGTGGGGGGGGGGGATTTTCAGGAGAACTAAGGCATCCTCTAGAGCAGGGGTGTCCAACCTTTCCCCTTCCCTGGGCCACATTAGAAGATGAAAATTTGGTTTGGGCCACACATAAATTTGGTTTGGGCCGCATGGGGGGGGGCAGCCCTAGAGTGCTTACTGGCAGCTGCGATCTCAGACAGCAGAGGCTGCCAGCTTTGACTCAAGCGGCTTTATAGGGCCGGAAAGGGGTCCACCTATTGATGGGGATGGCACAATGCAGTCACACAGCCCCCCTGTCCCCTCCCCTCCTGCGCCTTCCTTCCTTCCCTCTCTCCCCCCCCACCATTGTGACGTGCCCCGGCCGCATTCTAGCCGCAAGCGCCGGCAGTGTAACTTGAAGCTTTGGAATTTCTTTAAAAATAAAAAATTGCACTGGGCCGCATTACGAGCCAACCTGGACAAGCCTGCTCTAGAGCAATTCTTCAGTGTTTATATAGATTTGACTGCAGTGGAGCTGCAGCAGGAATGTCTTTGGAAGTGACTGCCATTGGATAAAACTCATTACTGTCCTTTATTTACTGCTGCTGACATACATGGCACTTTAGAAATAAGAAAAGGATGGCTCTCTATACTAAAAATCTATATATCTATAAACTGGCTTTTGATTCAAGGATTTGGGATTATTATTTTGTAAGTGAAAATACTTATTTTTTCTTTTAGAAATCTAATTTTTGGAATTATTGATTTTGATTTATCACCCAAGTTTCCTTCTTTTTTGCACATCCTGGGTTTAATTTTTTGTGTGTGTGGTTCTCTTTATTTATGTCCTAGTGCGTGGGATTGGGTGGTTGTGTTTTAACTGTTGTCGGTCACCCAGAGCAATGCCTTGGCACTTGATGGCCAGGATATAAATGTAATGAATACAATCAATCAATCAAAGACTATTTGACAATATTCCTTTTTTTATGGGGATTTGGAAAGATTTTAAGAAATTGCAAACATCACAGAAAAATCTATGGACAACTGTGGATACTTTCAAATGCTGGTGGGTCTTTTCCCCCCTCTGAACCACAGCTGCCTGTGGTTATGACAACTTCCCAGTCTTTCGGGAGGTGAAATTCATCCATTTCTGTGCAGATGGTATTGATTGCTCTCATCTTAAAAGTGCAAGGAGAAAGAATGCTGATGGGATTGTTTTGAATTGATCCCACTCATGCTACATAAGAATTCTGTTTGGGAGACAAATCAAAGGGAGATGAACAATGGAATTTGACACATAATGAATTTTATAAGGTGATGTGTGAAGAATTGTTTCCAGTCTGTGGCCCCCTTCAAATCTGCTGGAAGCCGTATGGCAAAGGTCAGCCCTGGTCCACAGCCCAGTGCCGGTCCGTGCCTCTAATCTAATCCAGAGGTCTAGACAGACCTCCCCCCCCTGCATGCACTCACCCCCGTACAGCTGATGTGCGCATGTGTGCATGCTCCAGCGCATGCCTGTGAGCACCGCAACACTTGCATGCGTAGACCTCCCCCCCCTGCATGCACTCACCCCCGTACAGCTGATGTGCGCATGTGTGCATGCTCCAGCGCATGCCTGTGAGCACCGCAACACTGTTCATGCATGCGTACAAGTGCACCTGTGTCCATTGGTGCACTGCTATTTGCACATGTGCCCGAGTGCCCACATGAGCACCGCACCACCGCTTGCACATGTGCATGAGCACCTGCATGCTTGCACAAGCACCGGGGCACCGTTTGTGCATGCGCACATGCTCTTGTTTGTGCAAGAGAGAGCGCTTTCTGGTATGCTACAGACCCCTGAGCCAGCCTGAGGAGTTGGACGATGCCTTCCTGGAGCAGATGGCCACAAATTTAAAAGAGAGAGATGCAGTAGTAATGGGAGATTTCAACTACTGTATCCTGATATATGTTGGCAGTCAAACTCTGCCGAGAGCATAAGGTCGAGCAAATTCCTCACTTGCCTTGCAGACAATTCCATGGTCCAGAAGGTGGAAGAGGCAATAAGGCGATCAGCTGTTTTAGGTCTGATCTTAACCAACAGGGATGACTTTGTTAATGGGGTCAAAGTGGTGGGATCCTTAGGTGGGAGTGACCACGCTCTCTTGGAATTTGTTACACAGTGAGAAGAGGAAGCCAAATGCAGCCAGACATGCATTCTAGACTTTAAGAAGGTCAATTTCAGTAAACATGGGGGATTACTGGCTATAATTCCATGGACAATGATACTGAAAGAGAAAGGGGTTCAGGATGGATGGGAATTTCTTAAAAGGGAAATACTAAAGGCACAATGTAAAACTGTTCCAACAAGAAAGAAAAACGGGAAATGTCTAAAGAAACCAGAATGGTTGACTAAATAACTTTCAACTGAACTAAGTGTTAAAAAAACATGTGAAAGAAACAGAAAAATGGGGAAAACACCAAAGAGGAATACAAGCAAATAGCCAGTACAGTGGGGTCTCTACTTAAGAACTTAATCCGTATTGGAAGGTGGTTCTCAAGTTGAAAAGTTCTTATGTTGAATCTGCATTTCCCATAGGAATGCATTGAAAACCATTTAATCCGTATCTGCTCTTTTCCGTCCATAGAAACTACAGTGGAACCTCTACTTAAGAACTTAATCCGTTTTGGAATGGTGTTCTTAAGTTGAAACGTTCTTAAGTTGAAGCAAAATTTCCCATAGGAATGGACTGAAAACCAATTAATCCGTTCTGGCTGTTTTTTTGTTATGTAGAGGTGCGTTCGTACATTGAAGCATTAGTTCCCATAGGAACTAATGCAAAGCTGGTTAATACGTACTCTACCACTAGGGGGAGAATTTTTTTTAACCTAAGATGACCTAAGGTTAAAAAAAGAGCAGGAAAGGTTTTTTTCCTGTTCTTATCTTGGATTTCTGTTCTCAAGTAGAAGCAAAAATTAGCAAATGGAGCTGTTCTTAAGTTGGATTGTTCTTAAGTAGAGACGTTCTTAAGTAGAGACCCCACTGTAAAATGTGTTCTTAAGGGATTTCTTTACTTATAGCAATTCTCTTTCAAAAATTACACATTTTTCGTAACTGAACACAAAATGGCAGACACTATGTCTTAAAGCCACAAGGATGGCATAGACCTACTGTATGGATTTCTAGATTATAGGCAGAAGATCAGTAGTGGGCTATCAGTTTGTTCACTTTCTTTCCTTAGGCTATCTTTTGTCAATAATAAATCCCCTTCTTGGACCATATAACATTACATCTTGGACCATATAACGCTACCGCAGTTAAAACTAAATGATGGTTCTTTAATAATAGGATTAAATGCTACATAGCAAATCCTGATTAAAGAAGAACCTGGTTAGTATGAGTCATAGTTAATGTTTGCACCAATGAGATGGCTATAGTGAAGCACTGAAAGTGGGAATTTATTCCAGAGAGTGGAGGAACTGGACAGAAGTGTGATCTAACATTTTCTGATCCTCAGCAGTGGTTATATAGTTCTCAACATTGTGTCTACACCAAATATCTGCAATCGGTTCATAAATATAAATAATTCATCTTCAGACTTAATCAGGGTTTTGTAACAAAAGTTCTCACTTTTTCTTTGGATTCTAAATTGCTGTTTATATTGCCAACAGGCTGACAATTCACATGGATGAAGAACTACGTGCACTGGCTTTCAATACTTTGCAAGCATTAATGCTGGATTTTCCAGATTGGCGAGAAGATGTTTTGTCAGGATTTGTTTATTTTATTGTCCGTGAGGTCACTGATGTTCATCCGACACTTCTTGACAACGCTGTTAAGATGCTAGTGCAGCTAATCAATCAGTGGAAACAAGCAGTCCAGATGCAAAATAAGAACCAAGAGGCTCAGGTATCACTATGCTGTATGAGATCACTGTCAAATGATTAGCTTTAAGAAAGCAATAAGGAACTGCATGGAAATACATTTTACTATGTGCCAACCTATATTTGTGCCACAAGCTCTGTTTATGTCTGCGTAAATATTATTAGAACTGTTTAGTTCAATAAAAGAGTCAATAAAGAGGAGAAACTCTTATGGATTCTATGGTTATAGAGATCAGAGTTGAGGAAATAGACAAGAAAAACTCAGTACGAATTTGGATTATTTCAGAAGGGTTTTATACCTTGGTGTGTGAAAACACTATGGATGAGTAGGTTACCTTTTTATTCCTTTTTCTTTCTTTTTCAGGTTCCATTGTCTGCTTGCAGCTACTTGTTTCTTTATCCTTTTGTTCTTTCTTACAGACAGGAAGGTTGCAGAACTAGTAGAAATAATGAAATGGTTATATCTGGCATTTGTATTTTGATTATTTAATAGTGCTAGGGAATATAGGGTGAAGAATGTGTGTACATAGGCTGTTGGTCCCACTGCTGATACCTATTAATTTGTGCAAATAAATAGATCCAAATGGACTTCAGTAACGTCTATTCCTCCCCTCCCCCCTTTTCAGCGTGGTGTAGCCAATGGAAGTGCTCCTACTCTTCCCTTAGAAAAGAGTCCTTATTCAAGTGTATTCCATGTCGTAGAAGGCTTCGCGTTGGTCATTCTTTGTAGCACAAGACCTGCCACAAGAAGACTAGCTGTCAGTTGTCTTAAAGAAATAAGGGCCTTGTTCACAGTTCTGGACAATTCTAAGGTAAGCTTATTGTCATGTACACTTACTGTTTTGGCTTAATTTCCAATGAAATAGCAGTGTTAGTCTATCTCAGCATGCTGGAAAAGGAAAGCGTCTGGGGAAGTGGACTTTGATGCACTAAAGCTCATACTGAACTAAAATAGTTAGCCTATAACATGCCGGGGTGTGTGTGTTCTTTTTCGAATGTGTCTCATTTTAATGTTTCCTAACTTTCTAATGCATCAAATATTTGCAATTTTAGGGTGATGAAGAGTTGGCCATAGATGTAATGGACAGAATTAGTCCATCAGTTCTTGAAAGTTTCATACATCTCACTGGTGCTGATCAGGTAGGGTTCTTTTTAAAAGAAAAAGTTATTATTGGTGTTTTGAAATGTGAAAAAGAATAACAAAATGTTTGAAGTGTCTGGTTTTAGATAACTGCTTGATTTAGTTATTTATTAGCTATTAAGTAGTTTGTGTACAAGATTATATTGAGCTGAATTTTATGCAGTAACATTCTGAAACTCAGAATACTTGATGTTCATTCTAAATGTTTAAAATATACTAGCATTGCAGTGTATCAGCTCAAAAGTATTGCATCACCAACATAACAACTTTTGAAATATCTGCACAGGAACAATGGTCAGTATATACCAGGGTGGATTTGATTTGAATCACAATTTAAAATTTAAATATTGGATTATTTTGATGATTTCAATTTAAGTCAATGTTTTAATTTAAATTCTTGATATAAAAAAATCATTTACTTTTATCCACCCAGGTACATACCAGAGGTGTTCACAGGAAAAAAATGCTTCAACTAAACATCTCCTTCACTCAGGTTCACTTTGGGTAATACAGTGGGGTCTTGACTTGAGAACTTAATCCGTATTGGAAGGCGGTTCTCAAGTCAAAAAGTTCTCAGGTCAAATCTGCTTCTTTAACGTGGTTCTCTATGAATCCACACTGATGGGTTAAACAGCGCCTGCGCTGGTTCCTCTCGGAATTTTCCAGAGCTATGAGGGAAAAGATACAATGTTTGAGTTGCCCTGCACTGCGCACGTGCAGCCCGCCAAAAATCCCCAGTTCCATTTATCCGCCCGCGGAGTTGGAACCTCTCGGTTAGAGCTCTTGAGATTCACCTCTCCTTTCGCCTATTTCGGACATTTCGGACTTGACCTGGCTTGTTCCTCGTTTATCCGCATCTCTGTTGCCCTGAACTCGGACCGCCTGACCTGCCTTTTGCCTCTGGCGCCTTGATTGCAAGTACTTTCTATTCCCTTCATCTTTATTGAGGCCTGTTACCTCCTGCTGAGGCGCCACGCGCCTGCAGGATCCTTTCAATTATCTACTTCCTCTGCTGCATTTGTGGACTGCTTAGCTTATGTCAGCGAAAAAGGGACCTTTTCGCCGCTGTTCTGCTTGCTCCGGGAAGCTCCCCTTCCAGGACCACCACTCCTTGTGTTTGTTCTGTCTGGGTGAAACCCACTCGCCCACAAATTGTCGACATTGCAAAGAATTTACTAAGGCGACCCTAAAATCTCGCCAGCAACGACTCAAGTTTTT